AGCGCCAGGGCGAGGCGAGCGCAGATGGCGCCGCCCGCCAATGGGAAGGCCGGAGGGCTGCGCGGCGGCGCGCGGACAGCGCTGTAGGCTTGGTTGCACCGCGCGTCCCCCGGGAGGGTCTGGAGGGCGAGGGCGACCGGAGGCTGCGGTGGAGCTCTGCGGAGGGCCGGCTCTGGAGCGACCCTCTTCCAGGCTAGGCCTTTCCAATCATCCCGCCTCCTCGCTGTGCTGGGGCGCAGTAAGGTGTTTATCATCGCTCCCCTAACTTTGCACCTTATATCTGGTCCCTTCAGTTAGGGACAGGCTGGTGGTCCCTTCTAGGGTACATGGTCTGAGTCACAAATCCTATGCATGCGTTCATAGCTACAAATGCATAGAAGAGGGTGTGTTCTGCCACATTGCCCCTTTCTCTGTTTTAAATACACGTCTCATAAGAACTTGGGCTTTACGTTCAGAAACTAGGTGCACAGAAACATGGGAGAGTCCCCTGCTCCCTGAAAGCAGTTTTTAAACAAGAATGGGTTATTGCTGGCAGGTATTAATGATACACACTGCAGAACAGAAGAGGAATGCTATTTTTGCCACATACTAGCACCGAGCTATGTGGAATATGAGAGCAGATGTTGGGGTTACCAAGAAATGGAGAGTAGCGGTATTAAAAGAAATAATTACTATTTTTCCTGCAAACGGTATGTCTACTGTGGCAGTGATGGATTGCCCTTCCCCAGCAGCCAGAAATTCTCAAGGCCTAAACAGGGAACCTGTAACATCAGTGTCACTCGGGAACCAGACAGAAATACAAGTTCCTGGACACTATTAAATCAAAAGTTACGGACCCAGAGATCTACATTTCACAAGCCCTTTGGATAATTCTGATGTGTGCTGATGACGTCTGAGAGCCACTGGCCTGGACTGCCAGTGTGAGAAAGGCTGATCCTGTGTGAGTCACAGAGCTTCTTCTGAAAGATTTTTACAGTTTACCAATCTCGTTCACACTCCCCAGGCCGTGGTAGCCTCGCTTCAGTCCCACTAGTCTGTGAGTTTCCTGACTCTGTTAAGTCTCACACACACACACACACACTGGTAGCCTCGCTTCAGTCCCACTAGTCTGTGAGTTTCCTGACTCTGTTAAGTCTTTTTTTTTTTTCCCATCCCAACCCCTTATTTTGATGTGTATCCTAAAAGAGACCAAGTTGTTAAGAATTTACTACCGACAGGGAGCCTCTTTCTAAACTAAGCTGCTCCATTTTTAGAAAATTGGAATCTAGAATGGGCTGGGAATGCAAAAACACCCCCCATATCCACTACACAGGATCAGGCACAGTTTGGGAATGCAAAGCTATAAGCCTTTCGAATTTTCAATGGTGCGGAATGGCAGGGCGCCAGAGCAGATCGTGGGTAGGACTAGACGACAGCAGGAGGGGGCAGGTTCCCTTGGTGCAAGGTATAAAGGAGAGGAACATACCGCTCTCTGCCTGAGCTGGGAGAACTGCAGAACCCTGGGCAAGCCTTGGGTGGCAAAGGAGTGTGGCGTGAGCCGTGGACCCACCCTGACTCATGTTCATGAACTGACTCCAAGCTGAAGAAAGGCAGAAGGGGGTTCCTCGGGAATCCTTTAAGAATGGGGCTGGAGGCCGGGCGGTGGTGGCGCACGCCTTTAATCCCAGCACTCGGGAGGCAGAGCCAGGCGGATCTCTGTGAGTTCGAGGCCAGCCTGGGCTACCAAGTGAGTTCCAGGAAAGGCGCAAAGCTACACAGAGAAACCTTGTCTCGAAAAACAAAACAAAACAAAACAAAAAGAATGGGGCTGGAGAGAAGGCTCCTCAGTTAAGAGCACTGGCTGCTCCTCCAGAGGTCCCGGGTTCAGTTCTCTGCACTCAAACAGCAGCTAATAACGGTCTGTGGCTCCAGCCCCAGGGGATCCAACCCTTTCTCTGGCCACACTCTTCTAGCCTGCCTGGACACCAGGCACACACACATAGGGTGCACAACCATCTGTGCAGGCAAGACACTCATACACATAAAAAATAAATATATACGTAACAAAAACCTTAAAAGACCCTTCAGGAAACAGAAACATTGTGATATTTTATTTATACCTCGTTTCACTACTACATCGATGTTCACCTTGAGTTTGATTTTGTTTGTTTGTTTGAGGAAGCGCCTCACTATATACAGCTCAGGCTGGCCTCTAACTTGGGATCCCCCTGGCTCAGCCCCCCAAGGGTTGGGATTCCAAGCACCTAGCTTGTTTGATTTTTATATCATCATATAAAATCAACATTGGACATTACACATGATGTCCAAGGTGTGAAACACATCAATGGGAAGTCTTTAGTGTTTTTCATAAAATCCACTTTGTTTCCCTTCTTTCGGGGGTATGCTGTTGGGAACTGAACCCAGAGACTCACCCATGCCAAGCTCATACTCTACCACTAAACCACACCTCCATCCCTAAACCATGTCCAGGTTTCCTAGTTATTTAGAAATTGGGGTAATGCTGTCTACCTTTTAGAATGTTGGGTAATATATAGAAGGCATGTAGACACCACTTGGCACAGGATTAAAGGTCATGACTTCTATAACAGATGTCATCCGGTTTCCAGATGGTACCATAAAACTCAGATCTGTTCCAGCCATTTCTAAATTTCACAAAGGGACATACTACTTAACAAATATGCTACTTCGAAGGAAGTTTGGGAGTGATGTCATTGGAGAGATCTGGATGACCCACAACTGTGGCTTGTAATTGGTGACAGAGTTTCATTGACTATAATAAACAAATAAGTACTTGAGATATATACAACTCAGAAGTACTTTGGCTGATTGAAATTCTGCTTAAAGTATTGAATCAATCATCCTACTCTTCTCTGTTGCTTTGAGAAAATATAAGCACTAACTCTATGTTTAAAATTTAAGATAGGACAAACATCTGCAGACTCACAAAGCAAGAGGCTATGTTTGGCATATTGGAGTGGAATTTTCCATTCTGTTTTGATATGTCTAATTATTATAAATAAATATGGTGTAATGGAAAGACTGCTAGTCTTATGTCAAAAATTTTATGTGGGCAACCAAATCAATGAACCTCTGTAACCCATGTTCTTCTCAGCTGTGAAGGGGCTGTGATGTGTATGCTCACATTGCTTTTGTGAAGAGCCAAGTGGACAGGGCCTATGAAACGCCCATGCTGAACACAAGGCTGACGTCAGTAAACCCGAATGAAGCAAGCTGTGGCTCCACACCCCTAGGTTGTAGGAGGATGGCAGAATTGATCTACTAAACATGCTCTCTGAATAGAAATCTCAAACAGAATAATAAACAAGTCAGCCCTCACCAGTTTTACATTTGCTAACCTGGTGAATGAATAAAAAGAAGAGTGTTCTAGAATCCTTGTCAACACCCAGGTCAGTTTGGCAAACTGATGCTTTTTCTGGATGACCCTGAATGGATAAGGAGCTGTCAAGTCATTGGAGAGCTATTTTGAGGTTTAGCATACCAAGTAGAGTGGAACACTTAGGAAGGAAAAGCACTCTCAGGACTAGTTACAGTTTGGCTCACTGTATTTTGATACCAATGTCAATTACAAATATTTCTTTGTTACTCTAGTTTTCTTCTTCCTTTCCTGTCAGAGATGAACACTTCCACTCAGTGCTGTCATGAAAAGAAATCAACTTCTTTTGGATTAGGAGGAGTAAACTATGCAAATAATCGTCACAGTGATTGGCTGGAGGGTTGATGATGTCAAAAATCCCACCACCCAAGCCTCCGGTTCTCATTGGCTGTTGTAAGAGGCAGAGAGCACTCGGAAGGGTCTACATCACTCCACAATTGCTGAAAGCCCTGAGCTTAAACTAAATTTTGCCATTTTTTTTTCTGGTTTTCTTAAAATGTGCCCAGAGCCTTTTACATGTTATTGCATTTCTTACATTATTCCAGGTTATTACTTAGTCGTCTTCTCTAGGTCTCTGTAACCATTTAGAACAATTCTATTACAATCTATCAAATAAATCTCTCATGGTTTAGTTACTAGCCAGTTTATTCTTATGCACCGAGAATTGTCTGTTTCTTGCTTTTGGCTGAAATTCCTATATGTATACAGAAACTATATATATATAGTTGATGTGTTTTATATCATTTCCTCCATGGCACTGTCCCTCTTACAGTTAACTGACTATATTCCAAAGGACTAGGCAAACCCATTGCTCTCACAATAGCCCCGAGAGCCCATTGTCTGCCTCACTCAGGCTGGAGCATTTCCTAACTACAGCACAAAGCTGAAAGTTTGTGTGTCTTGTCTCAGGTGGGATTCATTGTCTTTATTTGGAAAGCTGGATGTTCCTCAGTAATGAGAGAAGACTCATGATCATCACATGACCAGAGAAGGTCAGTGAAGCATAAACCTCGTTGAACTGCTCTATGAAAGCTGGCATGGTAAAACGACCTTCTCTTCTCTATAGAGAATCCACACACACTTCTGGACAACCAGTTTCCCAAAGGTTAAAATTCTAGACCTCGGAATAAAAGAAAAAAGGGGCTAAGGAGACAGCTCATGTGCTTGTCACACAAACCTGAGGGCACCCACGGAAAAAGCCTGATGTGATGATGGCACATGCTGAAGAGGCAGAGACAGGAGGATCCCCGCAGCTTGCTAGCCAGACAGCCTCGCCAGATCAGTGAGCTCCAGGTTCAGTAAGAGACCCTGTTTCAAAAAGCAAGGTGAAGAGTCCAGTCAACAGTCCCTGTGAAAATGCCTGTGCTGGTCCCATGGCTTACGTCAGAAAACTGAATGAAGCAAGGTGAATGAGCAAGACGGCTCAGTGGGTAAGGACTCTTGCTGCCAAGCCTGATGACCCGAGTTCAGTTCCCAGAATTCACATGGTGGGAGGAGAGAACCAATTCCTGTAAATTGCCCTCTGACCATTACACATGTGCCATGCATGCATGCTTGAGTGAACACACACACACACACACACACACACACACACACACACACACACACACACACACACACACACACACCCGTGTGCAGAAAGATCAAACACCAGTTTTGTTTGGAAATAACCAGTTGGTGACTTCACATCAGAAAGCGGATGTTGAAAACAGCTCCGTATACTCTGAGTGGTCCTTTCAGGTGTACTAGCAAGAGCTGTTATCTCACTTAAATGTAACCACAGTGCTGGACATTTTGCTGGAAATGCTGTGAACATTTTCTTATTTAATCCTCCCAGCAGCCCTGAGAGGTAAGAGTTCTCCCTGCTCTCTAGGAGGAAGCAGCTTGTGGGGCTACAGCACCTACCCACCTTTTCCAAAGCCTAGGCCTCAACCAGTCGTGACTGAGTCTGAGACACTTTCATGGCAAAAGATTTGACAATGACTATTGTTCAACAGTTCAATATGTATTTCTATGTTTATTTTGATTTTGTAATTTAATTTTATTTTCTGTGCATGTATGTGAGGGTGTCAGATCCCCTGGAAATGGAGTTACAGACAGTTGTGAGGTACCATGTGGGTGCTGGGAATTGAACCTGGATCCTCTGGAAGAGCAGCCAGTGCTCTTAACCACTGAATCGTCTCTCCAGCCCCCATATATCTGTATTTATTAAAGTATGTATTTGAAATACTTACCACTTCAAAGGATTTCCATGTTGCTTATGGAGGATAAAACAATAAAAGATACTTAAAGTCCAGTTGTGGGAAATGGAGTGCACATCCAATGTGCACTAACACAGGATTACAGATGCAATGTCTGTCAGCCTGCTGAATGGGAGTGATGTACCAATGTCTAGAAAAGGGACAGATTGCTATGTCTGATCAAGGACACAGTCATCCATCACAAGGGCTAAAAGATAAGACGTTGCCTAGGACAATCCTAATTCCATTAGGTAGAAACTGCCTACGGTGTCTTGAAAATAAAATCACTTATTGTTTGGGTCTCGTGCATACTATCAAGTTTTTGTAGCCTCTTGGTGGTAGAAATCTTTCTTCTTTGTTTTAATTCTCTGAGATTATAAGACAGTATTTCTCAAAGCATGGCCTGTGAACTAGTAGCATAAACACTTTAGAATGTAGTTATAGATGTAGATTCCCAGGCTTCATCCTTTTATTCTACAGAGTTGGAATTTCTGGAGATGGAATCTGAAAATCTGCTTTTTAGAGAAGTGACCCAGATGATTTTCATCATCCTGAAGTTTGAGAAGCATGAGGGTAGGGTTGGTTGGTTATTTATCGACTCATTTATGAATTAAATGACCACTCACTGGATGCCTGGCACACACTTTCATTTCATCTGTAAAGCGAAGTTCATAGAGAAGCAGTGTATGTTTCATTTCCTAGAAGGTGAGGCGGGATCAAATCTTGTCCAAGACCTCCTGTGCGGCTGGGGAGAAGGCCAAACCAGGTCTGCTTACCTTCAGTGTCCAGACTTTCTCACAATGGCCACTGCACTGTCAGCTGGACTATGTGATACTTGCCATGTGTGGCAATAATAATGCCTGTCACGTGAGCCCCACCGTGTGCTGTATGATTCAGATCTAAACCTTTCCATAACTTTAAATAGGTCCTTTGCCATGTATGATATTAATATGCAACCTCCAAATAGCTTACCACACAATTGAAAAGATCCTTCCCCCATTTTTATCCTTTCCCAACAGATCCTGAAAATCTAGCTCTGCCAGGACTTCCTTTTCTTGGTATAGTTTATCTCAACCCCTGGGGACCCAGTTTGGAATGGCAAACCATGTGCTGAAGTCTAGCCTTTATTTCTAACAGACGGCACACTTTGTTTCTGATATACAAGTGGAGAGATACTATCTGATTCAAGAAGAAAATGTTAGTTTCTTGAAAAGAAAAAAACTGAAAAACCAAATGAGTAACTTCTGTTGATCTTATGACTTCCAAAAGAGGAACTTAACCCAGGAATCCTCTCATGGGAGTCGGGATCACACCATCCCACATGAGATCTTATTCAGGAATATACATACTTGTGTCACACATCATCTTCAGGGAGCACGATAAAGCCCCGGGGCATACCCATGCGGCAGTGGACTCCACCCTGGCTTGCCTTACAGCTCTCCCGAGGGCCTGGTGAGAAAAGATAGTACTTGTTTTCAAGATGTGATGCCACAGTGCGGTCGGTCGGTTCAGAGGACGAGTTGATAATATGTAGCTAGAGCCACATGGGTCCTGTAACTTTTCACCTAGTGATACCTCCAGGGAATTTATCTCCGGGAAATAATGCAAAAGAAGAAAATAAGGTTCGGGAGCAACCACAATTTATAGTGCCATTATTTATTGTAATGAAAAAAAAAAAAAAAACCAACCCTGAAATAACCTAATGGTCCAAGAACAGAGAGATGAGCAGCAATGGTGTCACAGAACGGTTTGCTGCTGTGAAGGAGAAAATAGTGAGCGCATAGTGGGGTGGGGCAGGGTCTATCTTTAGGGACTGGCAAAATGGTTCAGTGGCTAAGAGTGCTTGCTCCCCTTGCAGAAGATCCAAATTCAGCTTTCAGCACCCACCAGGCAGCTCACATCACCTGTAACTTCAGTCCCAGGGAATCTACGCTCTTCTGGCCTTCATGGGCACCAGGAACACATACGGTGCACAGACCAACAGGAAGGCTTATGCAAAACGTAGTGGCGCACGCCTTTCATCCCAGCACTCAGGAGGCAGAAGCAGAGGCAGGCGGATCTCTGTGAGTTCGAGGCCAGCCTGGTCTACCGAGTGAGTTCCAGGATAGCCAGAGCTACATAGTGAGATGCTGTCTTGAAAACAAAACAAAACAAACCACACACTAAAGCAAACAAACAAAAAACCAAACAGGCAGGTATAAAAAAAAAAATAAAGTAAAATGTAAAAAGCAAGGGTGGGGCAAAAAAAAAATTTAAAAAGCAATGTTTAAGTAATGTAAGTGACAGCATTAAAATGCAACACTGTGTTGAGCCGGGATTAGGGCTTTGGAACCAGACGAACCTGTATTATTATCTATGTGGGTTCAGGCCAATCATTTAACATGACTGTCAAACAGGAATTAAAATATCCGGGGTCATTGTAAGAATTAACAACATCAACTACATAGATAAAATTTGGGTAAATCATGAGTAAGGATAGGGGGTACTAAGAAATGATCATGGTTGATGCTCAAATATGGGATGTTAAAAATGTATTTGAAGTGCTTTTCTCTGATGTCATAAACGTAATACTGTTTCGCCCTTCCCCCCCTTCCCCTTTGGCGTCTTCAGATGCATTGTTTAAGAAATGTGTTCATATGGACTGGAAACTTACCTGCAGGGATCACTGAGCCCTGTCCCGAGAATATTCTAGATCATTGCTCTGGGAGGGGAGTACGACCCTGAAACAGACCCAGGTGCAGGTGGCTTTAGGCGGAACGTTCAGGCTTTAGTGAAGCTTGTCACTGGGAGGTCTCTTTTCCCTTTGGAGTTTAGGGTTGCAAATGTCCTCCTGACCGAATGCCTCTCATCTCCCCTTGCTTCAGAACCTGGGCCCCTTCTCCATCGAAACACCTCCTCACAGGACTGAGATTATGAGAATGGGGGCAGGCAGGGAGATGAAACAAAACATTGAAGAATCGATCGATTCACATGAGTATGCTGTTTGTGTGGAGCACTGTGTTCCTCAACTATGGGTACACAAACAGTTTAACTATGTTTCAGAAGTCAGGTTTCAGAATCTTCTAGGCCGGGCGGTGGTGGCGCACACCTTTAATCCCAGCACTCGGGATGCAGAGCCAGGCAGATCTCTGTGAGTTCGAGGCCAGCCTGGGCTACAGAGTGAGTTTCAGGAAAGGTGCAAAGCTACACAGAGAAACCTTGTCTTTAAAAACAAAAACAAACAAATAAACAAAACCCAGAATCTTCTAGACAACCTTCACCATGATAGTATTGACTTTTGCTAAGAAACGTGGCACAGTGAGGCACACATTCGAGGAAGCTGAGACAGGAGAATTGTGAATTTGAGGCTAGTTTATGTAACATAGTGAAAGTCTATTAAAAAAAAAGAAAAATAATTTTAAAAAGGAAGGAAGTTAGGAAGGAAGGAGAAGGGGTATTACTAGGTTTTTATTTATCTATCTTTCTCCATACAGGAGTGACTCAGAGAGTATGACCCTTTGTAGATAAATAAAATGAAGACAGTGTATTGGTTACTTTTCTGTTGCTGTGATAAAACACCACAACCAAGAGAAACTTAAAGAAAAAATGGTTTATTTTAGCTTGTGATTCCAGAGGGATAGAGTCCATAATGGTGGGAGGAATGGCGACAGGCAGAAGGAGCAGGAAGCTTTCGATCACATCTCCATCCACGCGGGAAGCAGAGAGAGATCAAGCCGGAAGTGGGATTCATCAGAGTTATAAACCCTCAAAGCCTGCCCCCAGTGATGTGATTCTTCCAGTAAAAGCCCCGCTCCTGAAGATTCCATAACTTCCCCCAAACAGCACCACCAACTGTGAACCAAGTGTTGAAAACCATGAGCCTACGGGAGGCATTTCTCATTCAACCAACACAGATGGCGTTTACCGAACTGTCGGGTAATGTGGTAAAGGAAGGACATAACCGTTCATGTTTATTACTTTTTAAATTCATGTGAATGTGTGCCTGTGTGTTTATGTACACCAGTCACATGCAGATGCCCTCAGAGAAGGGTGACAGATGCCCTGGAGCTGGAGTTACAGCCAGGTGTGAGCCACCTGATAGGGATGCTGGGAACCACCTAGAGTCCTCTGAAAGAGAAGTATGAGCTCTTACCCACAGAGTGGTCTCTCCAGCACCAGTCTGTAACCATGGGGGAAAACAATACCAGTTTACTGACACTGCTGATGGAAAATGAATCACGGCCAAGCTATGTCCAGGGCTTCTTCTGAAAATTTTTGGGTCAGTTATTCTACACAAAACAAAATAAAAGAACAACAACAATCACAACAAAACCCCTTTTGGAAAACCTTGTTCTTCCACTTGGCGTAAAATAAAAATGATCTTTGTTGGGGGTTGTACCAAATTCTCTTTAATTGATTGCCCTCTTTCCCCAGGCTCTGCATCCTCACAGCCAGGGAAGCCACTGATGAAATATTCAGCATTGGGATGATACTTGATGTATAATTAAGTAGGATGCATTTAGCAGTTCAATTTTATAGATCTTTAATCCTCTAGCTAATAAATATTCATGTAGACAATTTCATAAGCAAAAACAAAATATTCTTAGAAATACTATCCTCTTTGGGGAAAAAAAAAAACATAATCCTGAATGAGCACAGCTATGATAGACAGGAAGACATGACACAGGACAGAGAGCGAGTAACTGCTTTGCTCATTATAACATTTAACCTTCACAATGTGATGGAGTAAGGACCATTGAAGAAAAGAATTAAAAATGGCAAACAAGTGTCTTAGAGGATTTACCAATAAGTTCTCTTAGAAAATAGTCACACAGCAGTAGATTTGCCTGAAGATGCATTGCCTCCGACATACTAATCAAACTTCTTAGACACCATGGAAGGTAAGGGCGGCAGAGTAGTACTTCTAAGATAATCAGGATGTAGATTCACTGATCATATGCTTCTTTAGAGCTCACTCATTCAGGGCTGCTTGCTCTTGAGGGGCCCCTCATCTCATCAGAGGAAGAAGCAAAGAGAAAATAACCTTGGCTGCCAGCTGCTCAGAGAACAAACCTGGCTTGTTTAATAGAAAGCTGCGTCAATGTTTCACAGCCCAGAGAGTGTAATGTGTGGATAACCCAGACTGCAGTTTCTTTCTGTTTCTGTAAAACCCACCCCAATTGTTCAGAAAAGGTAATTTGGGGTGGGAACCTAAAAAGCCACCTACTGATGAGAGCATCTGTATGATCATAGTGTTATAGCTCAACTTATATTAGATTTCCATTCGTGGCCAGAATCCCATAGGCATTGGCCAGGATCAGGATGTGCGCTTTTATTAAAGAGTTTTACGTATTAATCTATGAAGGGATCGGAGTGATTTCTCACTGGGAAAGCTTAATTCCACCTTCTAAACAATAACACCTAAAGCTCTGAGAAGCCAAGTGATTTGCTTAAGACAATGAAACAAGCGAGCACCCCAGCCAAGACAGCTTAGTTTCTTTGATTCCATTGTTTTTTTTTCTCTATTTTATGGGGTTTTTATTTAAAAAAAAAAAAGTATCAAACACTATGACTCACTTCGTCTTCCCAATAACCTGGTGAGGCTGAGTACTGTTATACAACCTCCCCTCAGTTTTTTAAGGGAGGCTAGGATTTATTTTGATTGACACCTTCAGAGATCTTAGTCAGGGCTTCATGCACATGAGGCAGGCACTCTTTCAACATCTCCAGCCAGCTCCTCTAGCTTTCCATAGTAAACATTCCATGTTTCTGGCATCTCCAACTAACTCCCTTGGGTATCCATCGAAACTTAGGCTCCTCTCTCACAGCATTACACACCACCTGCTCTGGGCTGCCTGCAGGGATCCTGACCTTTTCCCTATTGCCAGCCTCCCAAGCCTTCCTTTGAAAAGAAAGGAAGCCATTATAGGGTCATAGAAGCCCCCATGACCTTTTAATTGTGTTCTGCATGCCTGCAAAGCCAACATCATGTGGATGATGATGCCTCAGCCCGTTGCTGAATCAAACTGTAGTTGGACTCCTTAGACCATGGCTACGTTTGCCTTTGAGAGCCTGGTCAGCTGAGCGTCATGGAAAGGATCCGGAGAAACAGTGTACAAGGTGGGCCTGTTGCTGCTGGACACTCTGGAGATGCTATCATCTCAAGAAAGCCCCTCTGTCTGTCTGTCTATCTATCTATCTATCTATCTATCTATCTATCTATCTATCTATCTATCTATCTATCCATCCATCTATTTACCAGGACAGCCAGAGCTGTTACATGGAGAAAGACCGGGCTGGCCTCAAACTCATCCCAGTGCTGGGATTAAAGGCATTTGCCACCACTGCCAGGCAAAAACGTGTTTTAAATGGCTTTTTTCTGCTTTTTGACCTGTAATGGGTGGGACCAATTCCTGAGATGTCTTCATGGCATCTTTCCTGATGCAAAGTGTGTGACTTTTCTTCTGATGGCACTTTTTCCCCCCCAGAAATCATGCCTTCCTTAACTTTATATAGGCTTTATAGCCAAACTGTAACTTTCTATGTTTTTATTTTTTA